TTTTTTTTTTTTTTTTTTTTGGTACTGGGGATCAAACTCAGGACCTTGCACTTTTCAGGCAGGTGATGGAACCACTGAGCTAAATCCCCAGACCTTCTAGGGTATACTTTTAAGGCATTGTGTTTTCCAGGGATTATTTCTTTCTACATACATGAATCAGTGCATTTTTGATTATTGGCCTCTCTAGCAGCAGAAGTGGCCATCTAATGATAAGTGCTATTAGGAAAGGTAAATAGGAAGATATAAGAAAAAAACTTAGGCTTGGGAATCATCTTTGTTCAAAACTATCTTTTATTAATTGTTTGAAATGAGAGATTCCTATTCTTTTTTTTCCCATAGTAAAAAGCTACTATGCTTCTTCCCTCAAAAGTAGCGTTTTACTATGCTACTCAGGCAGTGCCGCCATTGGTAGTGAGCCATTCACTGAAATCTGCAGAGTGCATTATTCAGTGCAAATGCTTGCTCTTAGAGCGATAATTACTATACTAATTTTGTTTCTGGGGATTAAAAGCTAATATAAAAGTATGTGAATCTTGTTTTTATGCTCCCAATTTAATTGAAAAACAAATAATTGGGTTAGTAAGAAAAGTAGGAGAAAGGAAAAAAGTCAAGAAATGTCAAAGCGTAGAAGAAAAGACAGTGATAAAATAACAATGAAATTGGATGGCAAAAAGTAATTTTCTTGAATTAGGCTAAATAATCATGTCTCCTGTAATTTAAGACAAGATGCTAAATATTAATTTAAAATTTATTCATTTTTCATTATAAATTGTTAAAATATGGTTTGCATATTTTCTTTTTACCTTCTGTAAGTAAATATTAGTATAGATTATTATTATCATTAATATTACTATTATTGTTATTATTTTGGTATTGGAGATTAAACTCAGGACCTTGTGCTTGTGGGGCAGGCAGCAGCACCTCTCAGCTAAATCCCCAGCCCCAGTATAAATTACATTTAAAGATTAGATTTTGTTAAAACTATCATCTCTGAATTTTCTTAAAAGCATTTCTAGACTAAAGTACCTCATTGCCTTTATGTATTCCTCTTTAGGCCTTCCTAATAATTAACAAAAAGAGATGCTTGCCATAGATTGCTTATTAAAAACTACATTAAAGCAATAGTCTCAGTGAGTTGATGTGATTGTTATAAGGTCAACATTTTTTTTATCTGATGACATTTAGTAAAAGGAACCTGGGAACATTTTTGGCTTTTAAGAATTGATCACTAGATACTAATAAAAATGTTGAAGTTGGATGAAAATGATGCATTTTTGTCTCTGAGAAAACACCTGTATGGTCAAAAAGATATTTATTTTCATTATTTCTCCTCTGTTTGTTTATAGGACTGATTGTATAGAAAAAAAAGACAGCCCTGAAGTATATTTTTGTTGCTGTGAAGGCAATATGTGTAATGAAAAGTTTTCTTATTTTCCAGAGATGGAAGTCACACAGCGTAAGTTCACAGGGAAAATGCATAGGCTTTCTTGGCTAGTAGATTTAAAAATACAGTATATTTGTGTTGAATAAATAACCCTATTTCTCACATTTTTTCCCAAAAATATGACACTATAATTAATATTTATTATAGAATTCTGTAGACCAAATCTGAGTTGTTTTTTTCCTCCTTTTTTATAGCCACTTCAAATCCAGTTACACCTAAGGCACCATATTACAACATTCTGCTCTATTCCTTGGTGCCACTTATGTTGATTGCGGGGATTGTCATTTGTGCATTTTGGGTGTATAGGCATCACAAGATGGCCTACCCTCCTGTACTTGTTCCAACTCAAGTAAGTCATTATCTTATACTTTATACTGTTTTAGATCTTACATTTTAAAGAAGTATTACTGTCATTAAACTCACAAGGTTAAAAATGTTTGCCTATTTGGCATAGGAATAATAGCTAATTTTGCAGACTTACTATTTGCTATGTCTTAATCTTTTCTCAGAGGTTGAGGTACAGTAGAATGAGGAATATTCTCATTCCTGTTTTTCTCTGGAGAGTTTTACTTTCATTCTAATACTTTTAAGTATGGGATGAGCTCTCTGCTTCCTGTAAAATAATTAATGACAGAGAAGTGATGAAATCCGTTTTTTTCTTTTTCATCCTGTCCTCCATTTTTAAATTTTATGCCTTTTTCAAGACCACTCTCTAGAACATCCTTTTAACCATGAGATGCACTCAGAAAGATAATGCAGAAAGCATGGAGAAGAGAGGTTTTATAGAAGCTTCAGGGTCATATTACTATGTGTTACTGGTAGTTCAAGTATATTTTCTTTTTTGTAGCATATGAGATGTATACTGAAGACTAAAAACGTACTGCTCTTGATATCCCACCCTAAATACGTCTGAAAATAGTTTTCAGAGTAGTCAGATTAAATTTACTAAATTTTCTTCATTCTCTTACATAGACAGTTGGCACTGTTCCAGTGCTTTACAAGGGCTTCTCACAGAGGTATTAATACTATGCAGGCCCAGGAAAACTGATGACTTTTGGTTATACTTGCTTGAGACATCTCTAAATTCTAGTTTTTACGATGTTTCTTTTACCTCTTAAGATTAGATTATCTTACCTTTCTAGATCTCTTAGTTTATTTTTTAAGTTAATAGAAAAAACAGTAAAGTCCTATAATTTTATGACCAAAACAACTTCTTCCCTCTAAGCTTTATTTATATATAACACACCTCTTTCTCAATACTTGCAGCACTCTGTTAGCATTAGATCACTGATCTCCATAATCTTTTGAAGATATGTATATGGAGAAATAAACCTCAGGGTAAAATAGCTTGTTCAGTTAATTAGATAAACACAATAGTTTATACTGGTTAAATATTTTAACTTTCAACATTAGTAACTATACTCAGATTTGATAAAAATCATTTCTAGAAGTTTTACAGTAAAAAGTTTTAGTATCTAGTGTACGTGGTTTACTCCCAATGGCCAAAAGATACACTTTACCTTCTGTCAGTGGTAACTTGAAACATTTGTTTTAGTACCTAAATTTCGAAGAGAGTATTCAGTACTATAATAGTTTCCTGAATTTACCCTGGATTTGTCATATGATAGAAACAAGCTGGAGCCCACATTTAAATAAATATGCTAAGGTTTTTATAGTAGGAATTTTTAAGCAGTAATATAACCTTATATAGAGATAGGTAGATGGATCTTCATAGATAACATTATAGATGAATTTAGAGATAAACTTATAGATATATATTGAAAGCATTGACTTGTATCCAATATTGATACAAAGCATGGTTAAGAATTTTTTACAAGAGCTTTATAGCTTATATGTCAGACTACTTAGAAATACTAATTAATTCAAGGGTTTAAGACTTTTTAAAAAGGAAGGATGCTGTTACTGTTCATAACATGGGATCTTCCATGAATTCCCATCTCTATGGGTTTTAGGTATTTTTTGCTAGTGTGAATCTTGCTGTACACAGATTATTTAGAAATTACATTGTTGCCTGTCATAATTTACATAAATTGCCCAGATTTATGAACACAAGGAATAAATTTAAAGATTTTGGGATGGAGTAACCTGGCTGATTAAGCTTTGTTATGAAAAATATAAGATGGGTCTGACTTTATGCTTTTCTTCTGTCACAAAGTGTGTGGGAAAAGGGCATTGCCGTCAGTGTGGAGTTTCACTTTTGTCACCTCTCACTGTTTCTATAACAGAACAGTTTCATATTTTTAAGTCTTGTTTTTGGTAAGAGGTTTATGCAAACTCTAGTTCTACAAGACTACTTAATAGCTGTACCATTGCAAAGGGCTTAGTTTTATCTTTCATTTATAAAAATAATTATATCAAACACTGAAGATTTAAGTGCCTATTCTGGGGTTATGTTAATGCATAATTATCTAAATTATAGAAGCATCTATAGAATGCATATAAATATATAGAAAATAAATTTTTGGATTTTCAAATGGTGATACTAGATTATCTTTTGGATTTAAAAATTTAACTTCATGGGCCATAACCCTTAAAAGGATGGCATGGAGCCTGTGACAGCTTGTGTGTGCCTGTGTGTGTGTATGTGTGCATGTCTGTGTGTGTATGCATATGTGTGTGTGGTTTATTTTTTGAGAGAGGGTTTTGTTAAGTAATCATGCTGGCCTTGAATTTACTGTATAGCTCAGGTTGTCTTTGAACTTGCAATATTCCCATTCCACTTTCTGAGTGCTAGGGTTACAGTCTTCTTCACCCCACTTGGCTGATATGTGTTTTTAATAAGCTTCCCAGTGATTCTGGTGACCAGCCAGTTGTGGAAAGTACTCATTTAATTTTACTTCACAGGACTGTGTATGTAGTATAATTCCAGTTTTGTAGATAAAGAAATTGAGACATAACAAAGCTCAGAAGTGTCATCAGGAATCAATGTAGAACCCTGTGACGCTAAAGCTTTGCTTCTGATGCTGATTCTGTTCTGCTTCTCTTTTCAGAAAGTGGATGCTTCTGGTATTTCAGATTTCAAAATCATTCTATAGGCTAATATATTTTTCATTTTTAGACATTGAATAGTTTGTATAACATCTGAAATGAGCAGTAACATCATCTTACAGTAACATGTAGAGCAGAGGGAAAGTAAAGAAGTCACAGATACATAGAAAAGCATATTCATATGTTTTCTGATAAAATTTTCAGCATACTTTAGATAAGATTTATGAATAATGTGTGATTGGGAGTTTGTAGACAAAATTACTATGCTTCTGATTTGATTCTGCTAATGCCTCCTATTTGATAAAGATTTTTTTGAAGGATAGGTGTAGTAGTAGATAGGATAGAGATACTATCCATTTAAAATCTTAAGGTTACCTCATATTCATGTCCCCATATTCCAAGTTAAATTTCAAGACCAGTTAGGTAAAGATCATATAATATTGCCATGGATTTCTGGATCATTCTCCCTCCAAATCTTTAAATGCTTTAGTACAGTGACAAAATTATCATTCGTTTTCTTAGGAAATTTTGCTTCATATCCTTGGAGTTTGTAATAGGCTAGTTTGTAAAAAACTGGTTTGTTGAAAGGCATTATTCTATCATGATCAATAAGCTGGTTCTAATAATTAAATGGTGGACTTACTCATCTTTAAGACATCAAGTTGTTTAGGCTTTTTTCCTGGTTTCATTAGTGTTTTTATTTTGAAGTGAGGTAGGGATATAAATACTTTAAAATCTGGTTCTGTTAATTATGGCTTTTAGTAACCAACAAAAAATTTATTCTAAAATAAATCTAGCACTAAAGGCATAGAAAAAGCAGTTTGCTGGTTTTTAAAAATTGAAGTCATTCATATTTCTTGAGAACTCATTAATTGCTGTATTTCTACCACTGTTAACATAGTATTACTTTCTCTCCAATCATCTTGATGAAAGCCTTGAAACAATTTCTGCTCTTGGCCTTGTCATTTACCAAGTCCTGTTAATTCAGGACATTATTAGATCTGAGGGTGAGATTTCTCAGTTCTCATAGTTGGTTTTCTTCCATTTCTCTCCCTTCACTTGTACTATTGCTAGAATAGCATTTTACATTGTTTGATCATGTTAACTTCTGTGCTTAAAAATACTTGAGATCTCTCACTGATCACAGCAGGGAATGCAAAGTTTGGAGCATGATATGTGGGCTTCCATTCTCTGTCTGCCTTTTGATTCTTTATTCCTGCTACATCGTACAGCATCCAGCATATGAATCTAGAAGGTATTACTTGTGTACCATCCTTTAAAGGATTGATAAAATAAGGCTCAGGTCATTTTCTGTCTTCTGTGATTCAGATGAACAACCTTGATTCAGAAGGGCTCATAGTAATTTGTATTCATGTTTCATTTTCCCACTAGATTGTAAGTCCCTTGAAAACAAAAATATATAATGATTACTGCTCTATTTCACATAGTATTTGTATGTAATAACCATTCTGTAAGTGCTTTTATAAAAGTATGGCATTATTAAATTTTTTCTGTAATCACAGACTGAAGCATCCTATGAATTTGTTACCCAGGTCAGTTTTCCTTTGCCTGTGCTGAAACTGTCTTTCCACATAGGAAGATGCAGTGAGTAAACTGAATGCAAACTGGTTTTTCTGGTGACAGTGAGTCATAAATATGAGGGACTCTATTATTAAGAAGTCTTATTGTGTTAGAGTTAATGTGGTTTCAGTAAAACTTTTGGCAACCCTTTCATAATTGTATGTATGCTTAACTTTTCTGCTTATAAAGTTTATATTTGTGCTGATAAAAAATGCACATTGATAAGAAGATGGATTTTAGGACCTAGAAATGGCCTAACTTTAACAAGATATGAAGTCAATTTTTAAAGGCTACATAAATAGCACTTTGGTATTACAACATTAATACTTTTTAAGATGACATCAGCCTCTTTAATTCTTACATCATGATCTTTTGTTTAGATATTGTTTTGATAAGAACTGAGAGTTTTCAGATGTATGGGATCCCTGAGAGTTGGGCATACAGAATAATTCTACTGACCTTATGATTACAGTAATAATGGGTTGTCATTTCATGCTATGTCAAATTACTACCACTGAGAAATCAAGTCATCTGTAAAAATGCCTTGCAGGATTTTCCTCTGGAATATAAGTCTATGAATACCTTCATTTGAATCAATTTGACACTGGAAGGGTAAGATAATATTTAGCTCAGCTTAGAAAAATATACTGCTTCCTTATTTGGGGAGGGTAAGGGGTAATTAACTTTATTGATAGTATTTAATGTGCTAACATATTTAAAAATATACATAGAAGCACATTTTAGTAGATTAACTGCTAA